TACGTGATAACCCACGAAGTTTCTAGTCTTGGAGATAGTGGTTTACGTGACCTCCAGATGTTTGTCATCCTGTTGTGTTTCCAGGTTAAAAGAACAACAAAAAACGATCCCCAGATGGCGCTGTGGTCCGGGATGTGAAGATTTCCCCTAGAACAACTTTACTACTGACCTTGTTTTTTTGTTTTTTTTTGGGGGGGGGTGTTTTTGTTGAACTCTCAGATACCAGAAGTCTTTCGTGGGCGGTTGGCGAGCGCTCTGGTGTGGTTTGCTTCTTCTTTCCTATTAAAAATAGCTATTGACCTTCTTTCTTTCCCCCTCTTACTCTTATGTTTGTTACTCTCTTGTAACACCTCTAATCTTCGACTCTTATACGACCTTATTGTGTTGCGAGTGTCGTAAAACTTTTACTAAAACTAAACTAAAACTAAGATTTCTTTCCTGACGCTATTTGAGTACCGATACGCTTATTTTACGCTCTAATGTACCGGGTACGAGCGTGTGTGGTGTAGCGGCCAGGTGTTTCGCCGTCACACGCAGAAGATGTGAGTTCTTGTATTCCCGTTTGGGGTGAATTGTTATTGAGCATCTCTCCGTCTTATAAACCGACAGATAGGGTAGGAAGCTGCCCGCCTCCTAAATGATCCCCCTTATTGTGTCGATGGGGGCGTAAAAACTTCTACAATAATTTATTCCTGAAGTGCCAGACACCCAACATTCCATTTGGAGTTGTTTCGACCAGTGATTCCTCATGTGGATATTTAATATTTATTATAATGAACCTACACTTACATTCCAGTGGAGTTTTTCTTTCGTTGTTAACGATTTCTAAAATGGATACATTCGCCCGAAGGACTTAATTGATTCGTGAAATGGATACAATCGTGGATGCGTCTGATTTCTGAACTGGATACATTCTTACAAGTTACACCGGGTTTGTTCCTACTTTGGTCACATCCTCGTAATAAAGTTGTTTCTGTGTGTCACCTGGATTGAATTCGTTCCTGCACTGGGTGTGTTCCTACTTTGGTCACCTTCTCGTCTGTCTAGTTGTTCCCGTATGTCACTTGAATTGGATGTGTTCCTGCACTGGATGTGTTCCTACTCTAGTCACACTCTTGTATAGCCGTCCCCGTGTGTCCTCGCTTGGCGTAGAGAACGTTCCCCAGCTCTCACTTCTACCCCAATGATATCATCATCGTACGGTTTTTGTGTGTCGGCTGTTGAGAAGTTGATGAACTGGAGGACATATTTATTGACCACTGGAGTCACCGCCATGCAAACATTATGAAGAAGTGAGGTGGATAGTACAACAGCAGCTGACGTTTTGTCGAGAGAGTTTGGAACCAGGGCCTTGTGACTAGTATGTTGGATACCCTGCCGTTCTCCGTAAGCTGTGGGAGGTGCCTGGTGTAGCAGGCTGCGTCTTCTAGGAGGTTGGAACCCGAGCTCTCTGACTGACATGTCGGCTACTAGGACTGTCTCCGTAAGCTGTTAGAAGTCGGTAGTCTAGCAGGCTGCGTGTTGTGAGGGGTGAGAGTTTTGAACCTGAACCGTCTGACTACCATGTTTATGTGGCACACCTCAATAAACTCTTGAAAGTGTGTACTACTGTAGTGTATCAGCCTGTGTGTGGTGAGGGGTGAGAGATTTGAACCCGAACCTTCTGTCTACCGTGTTGGTTATTTGGAACAGCTCAATGCACACTTGGAAGTGTGCATTTTAGAGTTTCAGGCTGTGTGGTGAGGGGTGAGAGGTTTGAACCCGAACCTTCTGTCTACCATGTTGGTTATTTGGAACAGCTCAAATCACTCTTGAAAGTGTGCACTACTGTAGTGTATCAGGCCTTGTGTGGTGAGGGGTGAGAGGTTTGACCCCGCGCCGTGTGAGGGCGGGTCCGGGAAGTGATGTCCATGAAGGAACGACGCAACGTCACCTTTGAGGAGCCGGAGGTGAAGCAACAGCAGCGCCGCCGACCGCCCGAGACCAACAACAACAACCACACCCACAACAACAACAGCAGCAGCAACAGCAAAAACAGCAACAACAACAACAATAACAACAGTAGTAGCAATAACAACAACAATGAGGAGAGTAGCGGAAGCAGCAGCCGGACCAGGTCACGTGGTCGCTCCCGCTCCTGGTCTCGATTTCGCGCCCGCCGCTCCAAGTCCCAGGATGTGAGGGGTTCGAACTCCAACGCCTCGCCGTCCGGCTGGGGAGGTGTTGGTGGAGGTGGTGGGGGTCGAGCCGGTTCCCAACAGCCGGCGAAGCGAGAGAGGAGTCTGGTCAACCTGGTGAGGACGGGCTCCAGGAACTCGGTGAGGAGTCTGGTCAAGTTGTTTGAGACGAGATCGGTGAGTACTGGGCTTGATTTATCTACACGCCGTGCATGGCTGGTGAGTGCACAATGCACGCTCGCTCGCACGCGCGCACACATACGTGCACGCATATTTTGAGCATGCATGTACGAATACTTATTATGCTAATACATGCTCACTCATTCACACACGCACATGCACGCGCTTCACATGCGCGCGCACACACACACACACACACACACACACAAAGAAAAAC